ATGTGCAGGCTAGCTCCGACACAACACACAAGACACAAGAAGCCACCGCTCGCTCCCTCTGGGAGGAGGCTCCCTCTGGGGTCAGAGGCCGAAAGGGACACACTTGTATCGCACACACCGTTTTGTACAAGTTGAATTTTTGTTACCACAGACAGGTAATTCTTTTCCTAAACACAGTTTTTAAATCGCCTGAATATTAAAAAACAACAACACATACACATCCCTAGGAAAAACACCATCCCAGCACTCAGTAAATGTTGATATTTCTTTTAAATAATAATAATAATAATAATAATAATAATAATAATAAAATGTCTGGAGTGTAGACACTGCCTCAAAAGCTAGCAAATGCTTCTTCAGGAGTCCCGGTGGAAAGCTTTATTTTTATTTTTTATTTTTTAAACATTCATGATTTTAAAAAATATATATTTTTTATTGATTTTTTACAGAGAGGAAGAGAGAGAGATAGAGAGAAACATCGATGAGAGAGAATCATCAATCAGCTGCCTCTTGCACACCCCTTACTGGGATGTGCCCGCAACCAAGGTACATGCCCTTGACTGGACTCGAACCTGGGACCTTCCAGTCTGCAGGCTGACGCTCTATCCACTGAGCCACACCGGTTTCGGCCCGGTGGAAAGCTTTAGCTAGGGGTCTCCCATACCAGGAGTGTTGTGTCATCCCTTACTGTACATCCACCTTGACCTCAGCCCTGGATCCTCTGACCAGCAAACTCTCCACACTGCTCGAAGGGCATGGTGCGCTGGTGCCAGTCTCCCTGGTCTGCCATCTCAACATCACTACACACCAGCTGGGCAACCCTGGGCAAGTTACTTCACCTCTCTGCCTCTCCACACAGGGAGGCCATTTGCTTGAGGATGGACAGCTATTGTAAATAACGAGCAGATCTACCCAAGGTCACGTCCTCGATTTACTTTTTCTCAGGAGAAAGCTTTGTTTTTATTACTCCCAACACTGTCAACCTTATGGTTCATCCTCCCAAGTTACTCTTGGCCAATGTCTATTTAGGAAACATATGTTTACATTTCCAAACACAACACAACATTTTAAACAAAATGACGCTAAGAAGTTGCCACTTACGCTGCAAATGCAACAGATGGGGCGTCGGGATGAAGTGGAGGTGCCCCGAGGGCCAACAAAGGGGGTTTAGTAAGTTACCGGGCACAAAGCCACCGCTGGTGAAGAGGCCGGTGAGTGGTTGGCCATCCGAACCGTCTGCAGTGCCTGGCACAGAGCGGAGGCTCACGAGTGTAAGTGCTGACGAGCAGCAGACAGTAATGTGAAAAAACTGACGTCCTGAATACAAACCCAAGGCGGTGAGGGAGGGACCCGGCTCTCCTTGCCTGGCTGCCCAGAGTGCTGCCAGCTGCCCAGGAGAAGACGATGGGCTAGTTACAAGGTTGTAGGAAGTGGTTTGAAATCATTTGATTGTGGGATCATTTTTATAATTCAGAATGAGAATTAGAGGGTGTGAACGTTTCTTGATCACCCGGTGGAGAGCTTTAGCTAGGGGTCTCCCATAGCAGGAGTGCTGTGCCATTCCTAACTGCACCATCCACCTGGACCTCAGCCAGGGATCCTTCTGACCACACTCTGCACACTTCAAACTCTGCACACTTCCTTCTTCCCGCATCCAAATCGCAGGCCGGGGCTGGACCATGTACCGGCGACCGGGATGCTCCTGCGATGTCTAATGTCCACTAACACTGTCCAGACCCTGCTTGCGGACCTAGAGGGAGGAAAACGCTTCTTTCATAGATGCTGGTGAGGCCAGGACGGCAGCCTGGGCGAGGGTGGGCAGCCCATTCGCTCGCTGCCGGCCTGGATGTGCACCTGGACAAGACAAGCTTGCCACGGCGGCGTGGGAACCTGCAGCCAAAGCCCTAACGTTCTCCCCACGCTTCATCCCAGCAATTCTGTTTCCAGAACGTCAGCCGGACAAAACCGTGAGCAATGTGCAGACCCACACCGCCACGAAAACACCCTGTCAGATGTGTCAAAGCGGGCTGATCTGGCTTAGCCTGTGACAACCTTGACACAAAAACGACATTTCCTGTCTTCACAGCATCTGTGCTATATAATTTCTAATGTGTTTCCATTGAACGGGCCTATCAAAATGGACACAAGCAGCCCCCTACTGTTGGACATGTTCTACTTTTTAGAAGGAAAAATGAAAAGCAACCTAAGTGCCCAACAGCAGGGGGATGGTTGAAGCCATATAACGGGATGGTCCTATACTTGGTTTTACACACACACACACACACACACACACACACACACACAGTGCGCCCCTATGAGCAGGTGGTTTGCTCACAGGTGACTTTTTTTCTTCTTCCCATTTTGGTTATATTTATGGCCACTTTTTCTACAATAAGTATTACATAAACATTTTAAATATTGTTTTCCACTTCCTTCCTCCACGCTGAGACCTGAAAGAACGCCTGGCAGGGTGAGGGGTGGGGCGTGGGACAGTCATCACAGATGAAATGGCAGCATCTGCCTCCAAGTCACGCAAACCTGTGGGGATGGGAAGAGCAACTCATCAGGCCTGCCAGTGAGGACCGCAGCCGCCGCTCTGCCTGTGAACAGAACGATGAGCACACGCCCAGGTGGGGAGCACCTCAGTTGATGTCTGCACACGGTGGCAGGAATGAAGCCACGGACCCGGACTGTGCTGTCTGGGTATTTCCTGGAAAGCCAGGAAGTTGAGTTTTAACAAGGCCAGGATCCCTCTTAGCCAGCCCTTCACCCTTGGAAGTGCGGGCGCTGGTGGGATCCCAAACTCGCGGGAACACGCCACACCAAAAGCCAACTTTCCTTCACCCTTCAGCTGTACTTCAGGCAAAGCGGATGCCCCAGGCGGCTGCTCCAACCAGAGGCAGGGCCCTCGGTGGGGTCTGGGATGTGGCCTCACCGGCCAGTTCCGGAGGCCACAGAGAGGATTTAAGAATGTGAAATGGGCCCGGCCAGCGTGGATCAATGGTTGGGCGGCCACCCAGGAACCAAGAGGTCACGGGTTCAATTCCTAGTTAGGGCACGTGCCCAGGTTTCTGGCTCCATCCCCAGTGGGGGCCATGCCGGAGGCAGCCAATGAATGATGTTTCTCTCTCACTGAGTTTCTATCTCTCTATCCCTCTCCCTCTCTTTCTAAAAATCAATACAAAATACAAAATACTTATTTAAAAACAAAAGAGAAAGCGAAATGGGAAAGTTCCTACACGTCCCTGAGTTTACACACCAAGCCAGGACACAGGGTCCCCACAGCCAGAACTTCCTGGAAGGAAGACTCCATGGGAGCCCGAATGGCAGCTCCCAGGCCGGGGGGGGGGGGGGGGGGGCAGGCGGTAACAGAAGCGGGTTCAGGGCAGGCGCCATTGTCATCAGTGAAGCCTTGATTACACCATATTCTCTAAGGAGTTCTCTCTCAACTGTGACACAGCCAACCCCAAATGTCTCCACCAATTTCTGTTTCCATGCAGCTCCGGAGAGGAAAGGGGAAGAGAGGTTTGGGGGGAGGGAGACCTGGCTCTCCTTACCTGGTGGTCTGTTGCCAGTTGCCCAGGAGAAGGACGGACTAACGTGTGCACTAAGTTACAAAGCGGTGGGCACACATTGCGCGCGCGCGCTCCCTCTCTTTCTCTCTCTCTCTCTCTCTCTCTCTCTCTCTCTCTCTCTCTCTCTCTCTCACACACACACACACACACACACACACACACACACACACACATTCACACACGTCTTCATTCCCTAAGCGACTCTTTATTCTTTTGTTGTTGACTTTTGCTCTGCAGTCAGTATATTCAGGAGCATTCACACACTCATATCATTCTTTATTCTTAAGCTGGCTTTTTTCTTCAAAGGAAAAAGGAGCTTTTTTCTTGAAAGCTCCGTCTTAAACGACAGTGACTGTGCCCACCGTCCTTTAAGCACTGTCTTAACGCGCTCTCTCTCCTGGGCCGAAAGGAACCAGGAAGCTTTCCTGTCTCGGACTGACTATGCGGCCGTTACCGGAATGCCCAAGCTCAGGTTTACTCCTGAGTTTAATGCACCCTCACGTGCCCACGGGCAAACGCAAACACCCGCTCAGGAGGAGCAGCAAACGGGGAGCCAAAGACCCCGATGGCTTCCCTACGGCTAGCTCTTCACCAAACACAAAGCCTGGCTGACCTCAGGAATGGCCTCCGAGCAAGCGCTTCCGAGAAACCGGGTTATTTTACAGGCTCGATGGGTCCAGCGCCCGCGGGCACCGCGTCCGAAGCCCGGCGGCTGGGAAGTGCGGCCCCTCCCCCGAGCGGAGCCGCAGGGAGCTCCCGCCCGGCCCCGACCCCCCTCCGCGGCCAAAGTCCACGGGGTGGGGGGGGGAGCGCAGGGGAGGGATGGGGGGAGGGGCACGGGGGGACTGGAGGGGGGGTGGGGGGCCTCCCGCGTTCTACCGGGCGCTCCCGTTCTTAACGCTCCTGAACTTCGGGGAAGCGAGAACGTGGCCTACGGACAGGGGAGAGGGTGACTGGTGGGTGTCCGAGCCCCGAGCCCCTGCTCCCTGGCCCCCCTCCCAGGTCCAGGCAGGGCGAGGGGGGCAGAGGAGGGAGTCCCCGCCGGCCCCGCGCACCCCGCCATCCAGGCGGAGAACCCCCGGCGGGGCGCGCGGCTGGCCACCTCGGCGGCCCGGCTCGGAGGAAAGATCGAGGTCTTTCCTTCCTCCATCGGCGTCGAGCTCCGGCCCCGGACCAAGGGCTCGCGGCTCGGGGACACGCCCACGCGGCTCGGCCGGCGCCGGGGTCCGATCGCCCCGAACCCAGGAGGGCACGGGCCTCGCGCCCCGGAGACGGGCGGCCCCGGGGAGTCCGCGCCGTCGTGCGCTCTGCCGTCGCCCCGGCTCCATTCGGACGCTCTGCCCCCGCCCCGACCCCGCGCCCTCGGTCCCCGGCCTCCTCCGTCCCTCCCCGCCCGGCACCCGGCGCCGGGTGCGCCCCACTCACCCGCGGCGCCCGGCGGGCGCGCCGCTCCCAGCAGCAGGGCCCCCAGCAGCGGCAGTGTGAGCCCGCAGCTCAGGCCCTCCATGGCTCCGGGGCGCCTAGGCCGCGGCGGGGAGAACGGCTGTGGCTCCGGGTTCGAGGCGGTGCCGCCCGCGGGCGCCGGGGCCTGGCACGGGCAGCGCTGCGCTCCGCCCCGCCCGGGCTCTCTCACCTGCGCGCAGGCGGGCTGGCCGGTCCCGCCCTGCGCCGGGAGCTGGCCCGACCTGTCCCCTCCACTCCCCTCCCCTCTGCCCTCCCCCCTTCCGGCTCCAGCACCGGCCGCTGCTCCCAGGAGGCTGGGCCTTGTCGTCACCTTCCCTGGCTGGTCCTTCCTGTCCAAGGTGAGAGTGATCATGTCTTTTTGTCCGAAGGCATTTGTGGTCACGCTTGGCGGAAGCCGGTCTGCCTTCCCTTCGCTGTCCCCAAGAAGGAGGAGGAGGAGGCCCCTGTGTTCCCCGTTTGCGGGAGAAGGTTTCTGGGTCGCCTAGGCCCCTGGCTTCGGCCCCTGTGCCCTCTCCTCTGCTACCTGACTGGGGCGGAGGCGGGATTTGAAAGCCCGGCTATAGCTGCAGCCCGCCGCCTCCTCCAGGCCCCTCACCTGCAGTGTGTCTAACCCCGAAACCCACTGGCTGAGTCCCACAGCCTGCCCCAGGGTCTCGGGGCCAGCGAGTAATTTAGAGACGGGACTTGACAGCTCGGCTCGGGATGGGTTTTCCACAAATGGAATTGCTTTGTTACATTTTTGAAAAAAGATTGAGTGAATGAATGAATGAATGAATGAATGCAGGAGGCCAGAAATGGCCAAGAGAAGAAACCTTCAGGGGTCCACCAGGGCCCCTTGCCTTAGGTGTGAGTGGAGGAGTATGTGCCGGGTGCATTCAGGCCAGTTGGGGTGGAAACGTGAAGGAGGCTGGCTCCTTTCCCTCCTCCCCGGTGCCTTTTGTCTCTGGCTTCTGTGGGTTCTTCTTCTGTTCTGTAGGCCACACCCCAAATTCCCGGGCGCAAGGCCACCGGGCGCAGGGAGAGGCTGTGGGTGGTTTGCCAGGAGATTCTTTCAGTGACTGAACGGCCCCTATTGTCACGGCAACGCCAACCGCTGATGGAGAGAGAAAGGGGCTTGGGTGGAGAGACCCTTTTGTGAGCCTGGAGATGGAGGCGTTTGCTGTGGTCTGGAGCCAGAAAAGAGTTCCTGGGGATGACTTACTTTGCCAAGGCAAAGTTACCTTTGCCCCAGAGGTAGGTAACCACGTGGTGCAATTGCAGTCGTAGGATGAGTAAGAGGAATAGGGAAAGGCCTCGAGGAGTAGCTGCGGAGGGGGCTGAGTGAACCCGTTCCACGGGACTCAGGAACTCTCTCCGACCTACTCTCCGTCGCCTCCCCAAATTGTGCCACCGAGGAGGTCAAGTTGAAAGGTCAGGGGACGAAAAGAGGAGCAGTGGAGCTGGAGCAGAGCTCTCCTCTCCTCTCTTCCTCAGCCTCTGGAAGTCACTTGGCCTCAGGGCACAACAAGCCAGACCCTGCTCTGCCCTCCGGTTTGATCCTTGCCCACGCAGGCCCCTGCCTGCCTGCCTTGCTTCCTTCCTCTCTGTTTTCACTCGGAGTTTGGGAGGAAAATGCTTTTAGGGATTTCCCCCCAGGAGACGGAATGGAGCCAGACAGTCATCGGGCTGGAGGTCCTGGGTGTCACTTCCTGCTGGATGGAGTCACCGAGAGGGGAGGTGACACAGTCAAGGCGCACTGCAAGTGACCTTCAGAGCGGAAGCCAGTGTCCATCCAGGAACCCACAAGCTCTCCTTCCTGGAAAGTCCTGGTCTAACTCTGCCGGCACCTGGGACTGGCCAGGTCCCCGGGCCCTCCCTCCTCTCACCTTGCTGCCACTCAGCCCTTCATAGCGTGGCCCCCACCCCGTGGCTCTGCTGAAACCCCCAGGTTGATATGCCTTTTTTAAAATAAAATCAACGGTTAGTTTTGGGACAATTTTTACACTCACAGAGAAGTTGCAAAGGCAGCATGAGAAATCCGAGGTACTCTTCACCCAGGTTGCTCTCAGGTTAACATCTCACATCCCAGGATGCATTTGCCAAAACTAAGAAGCGAATGCTGGTGTGACTACTGACTACACTCTAGGCTGGATTTTGGATGTTTCCAGTGTTTTCACCAATACCCCTTTTCTATCCCAAGGAAGATTCCATCTTGGAAACCACATGGCATTTAGTCATGCTGTCTCCATAGGTTCCTGGCTCTGTGACAGTTTCTCAGCCGTTCCGTGTTTTTTGTTTGTTTGTTTGTTTTTTAATATGTTGGGTTTTTTGTTTTTTGTTTTTTACCTACTCTCCATCGCCTCCCCAAATTGTGCCACCGAGGAGGTCAAGTTAAAAGGTCGGGGACGAAAGGAGGAGCAGTGGAGCTGGAGCAGAGCTCTCCTTTCTCTCTTCCTCAGCCTCTGGAAGTCACTTGGCCACAGGGTGCAACAAGCCAGACCCTGCCCTTCCCCGGAGAGCAGCCTCGGGTATGGGAAGGCCCGGGGACCTGGCCAGTCCCAGGTGCCGGCAGAGTTAGACCAGGACTTTCCAGGAAGGAGAGCTTGTGGGTTCCTGGATGGACACTGGCTTCCGCTCTGAAGGTCACTTGCAGTGCGCCTTGACTGTGTCACCTCCCCTCTCGGTGACTCCATCCAGCAGGAAGTGACACCCAGGACCTCCAGCCCGATGACTGTCTGGCTCCATTCCCTCAGGCTGCCTTTCAAGACTTCAACTCTGGAAAGTTTGCGCGACAGGGAACATATTTTTAATATATTTTATTGATTTTTTTACAGAGAGAAAGGAAGAGGGATAGAGATCTAGAAACATCGATGAGAGAGAAACACTGATCGGCTGCCTCCCGCACATCTCCCACAACCAAGGTACATGCCCCTGACCGGAACTGAACCTGGGACCCTTCAGTCCACAGGCCAACACTCTATCCACCGAGCCAAACCGGTTAGGGCTTTGACGCTATTTTAAATGATAACCCCCATCCACATGCGTGGGACCAGCCAACCGTGCAGATCATTCAGCGGAGGGCCCTGCCATAGGAGCAGCTGTGGCCACGAGTGAGCACGGACTGGCCCCACAGCCGAGCGAGGACTGCCACGCATGCCTACGACCAGGAGAGGCGCCCCCGTTTCGGAGATGTTTACAGTTTTTAAAAAATGCCTTTCAGAATTGGTGAAATACGACGGACCTTCTGGCTAGGTGGCTGGCAGGAATCCCATGTATGTGTCCGGGGGACCTCCCCGCGGAACTTAGCTCCGCGCTTTCATGTTCCAGTGTTCGCGGGGGGGGGGGGGGGGCCCTGGGGCTGGAGGGACACGTGCCCCTCACCCACTCTGAGGAACTCTGCTCAGGGGCTGGGGCCGTCCTCTGTGAGCTGTGCTCTGGGGTCTGCTCCCCGCCCTCTTCTGGCAGGACTGGCTATGACTGGTGGCAGGACAGTCTAATGTGAGTGATGTCTTCATGAGGCCCTCGGCCCCGGGTCTGAGCTGAGTCCTCGGATCCGCTTTATCAGTGATGAGATAGAGGACATACACTCCCAGACTGCCTGGCTTCGACGCTAGCCTGCTGTGTGGTCTTGGGCAAGTCACCTAACCTCTCTGTGCTTGTTTCCTCCCCTGTAACCCGGGGATAAACCATAGTGCCTACCCGATGGGGTTGCTGTGGAGATCAGATGGGATAATTACACGGAAAGCACTGAGCACAGTGGCAAGCATGCTACAGCGTTAGCGATGATTGGAAAGGCAGCATTTTTATCTCGTTTCCCGCGTCATTTTTCAAGAATAAAAAAAGACAAGGCGACCCTGGCAAGCTCAGTCCCTAAGGATGGGGGGGGGGAGCAGGAAGGAGGCAGGAGGTCAGGCAGGCCCGGCCTTGCCCCAGGCAGCAGGGGGAGAGGAGAAACCGAGGAAGTGCATGTCCTCCAGCCATCCTGGCCGCTGGAGAGGAGGAGCCTGTTGAAATGGTGCCACCCTGGCCGGTGTGGCTCAGTTGGTTGAGCATCGTTCAGTGTACCAAAGGCTTGCTGGTTCATTTCCTGGTCAGGGCAGTATGCCCAGGTTTTGAGCTTGATCCCCAGTAGGGGGCGTGCAGGAGGCGGCAGATTGGTGTTTCTCACATTGATATTTCTCCCTTTCTCTCTCTGTACAATCAGTAAAAACACATAAAAAACAAGCACACACACACACACACACACACACACACAAGAAAGAAAGAAGTGGCGTGCAGGTGCCTGGAGACCGGTTGTCCTCCGGGCCCCCTCCTGTCGTGTTGCCTCCGGCAGGCCTCTGTCCACTCACTGTCCCCACAGTTTCCACCTCCTCTTAAAATTCAGGATGACTCTTTCCTATTCATCCCCTCACCTGCCCTGTCCAATCTCCTTTCTCTGTCACCAAAGATGAATCTGCTCTTTCTCATCTCCCCGCCCAGGGCCTTCGCATGGGCCATGGTTTGCTCCAAAGCCGGGGCCGGGGGTTGGTGCGGCTCTTCACCGGGAGTGACTGTCAGGGACTCTGGTGCCGAACCCTCCGGAGACCTGGGGCCTCAGGTCCCAGCCCCGGCAGGACGCTCTCTCGCCTTTCCAAGCTGCTAAGAGAAGAAAGACCTTGAGAGGGACAGGCTGCCTGTAAAGACTTCCACTCTGGGAAGTTGGCACTGCGGGGAGCATCATCAAAACTTTGCTTCCGTCTTTCTGGTTGTTCAAAAGACGCCCCGTGTTTCTCTCTCTTTCTCACTCCCTCCCCTCCCCATACCCTTCCCCTCTCTGGGTGCAGTGGTGGGACTGGAGGGGAGGGGGGCGCTGAGCCTGGGGGTGCTCTCAGCCACAGGTCAGCCTGGGGGCCTTGGAAGTGTTGAGTGAAACTGGCTTTTTCAGTCCAACCACGCCTATGTCATTTACCAACTCTTACCCATGATTATCTGAACTAATAGCTTTAATTATTATATTAAAATGAATTGCCGAAAACCGGTTTGGCTCAGTGGATAGAGCGTCAGCCTGCAGACTGAAAGGTCCCGGGTTCGATTCCGGTAAAAGGGCATGTACCTTGGTTGCGGGCATATCCTCGGTAGGGGGTGTGCAAGAGGCAGCTGATTGATGATTCTCTCTCGTCGATGTTTCTAACTCTCTATCCCTCTCTCTTCCTCTCTGTAAAAAATTAATAAAAT